CTGGGTGTGCTCACCCTGGGGTTTCCTGGGTGGTGCAGGCCAAGGTCAGCCCCCTCTGTGTTCTGCCTGGAGCCACCCAGCATGAGCTATCAAGCAATCTGAGATGGCTGCTACTTGTGCTGGACTTGGAGATTGCCAGGCAAAGCCAAGCTGTGAATCTAGGCTGGCTGCTGCTAGTGCTGGGCCTGCAGCCACTTAGTAAGAGGCACAGGGGCTAGAGGCTCACTGAGGCCAACTATTGCTTGTTTGATAGGACTTGGTTAGTTATGAAGCATAAGCCAAGACCTGCCATTCGTATGGAAAAGTCTCCGTTAACAGTTTGGGTGGGCCTATAAGTTGGGTTGGGATGGAGCCTCAGGGGATATCTAGGGTGGGGCCACCAGTGTTAGCCAGGTTGATGGAGTCTCAGATATGGCACCCACTTGCTGGCTTGTGGCTTTGTTGAGGGAGGGCTCAGAGAATGGACAATGGCCTCTGCCCACCTTTCTCTTTGGGAGAAAGCGGCCCCTAGCTCTCATCTTGATTCCAGATACTTCATTCCTCCCTGAGGGCCACCGGTGCCTTTCATGCTGCTTCCCTGGTGCTGGAGCTCAGAGGGAGTGAGTCTGAGTAAATCCGTGTGTGGATTCTTTAAGGGAAACTTCCTGGGACTCCTGAATTTTCCTCTACTGACTCAGTCACTGCTAGTTTTTATAGCCAGAAGTTATTGGGACTTACAACTCCTGGCACTAGATCCCTGGGCTGGGGGGCCTGGTGTGGGGCTGGGACTCCTTGCTCCCGACATATCCCTCCCAAATTTTTATCCACCACACGTGGATGTAGAACCAGCCCCATTCCATGTCTGTACCCCTCCTACCAGTCTCGATGGATGTGGTATTTTTAATTCTGTAGTTGTCAGATTTCCATTCAACTTGATTTCTGATGGTTCTGGGTGATAGTTGTCCTGTAGTTTAGTTGTAATTTTGATGTGGTTGTGTGAGGAGGGGAGCCGTGTTTACCTGTGCCACCATCTTGACTGCCACTTTCTCTTTTGTGTTTTCTCTCTCTATTTTTTATGTTCCCTGTCTCTTTGTTGAAGGTCTTAGTAAGTTCCTCTACTCTTCCCATAAGTTCATTGAGCATCCTTACAACAAGTGTTTTTAACTCTGCATCTGGTAAGTTGTTTTTCTATATTTTGTTTAATTATTTTTCTGTAGCTGCGTTCTGTTACTTCATTTGGGACCTGCATTTTGTCTCCTCATTTTGGCTGCCTCCTGTGTTTGTTTCTAGAGCTTCTATATCTCCCAGTCTAGACAGAGTGGCCTAATGTAGTATTCGTCCTTGTGGGGCCCAATGGCACAAGCTCCCCGGTTACCCACGCTAGATACTCCAGGTATGGGCTGTGTGAACCCACCTGTTGCAGTTGAGCCTTGATTGCCGTTGGCACCTCAATGGGAAGGGTTTACCCCCAGGTCTGTTGGTTTCAGGGACTCCCACAACTGCAGTGGAGGATCTGCTGTGCAGGGACCAACCCCACACAGAAGGACTCGCTCACAGAAGGAGTGCTGGTGCCCACCGACTCCGCCCCTTGAGTGTGTCACTTGTAAAGGCCAGCTGCTGCTCGTGCTGAACCTAGGACCACTTAGCAAGATGTATGGGGCATGTCGAAGCCAGATCCTGCTTGTTTGGGGTTTGTGAACATTTGAAAGCTTTTAGAAAAGTCCACACATGAGCCAAGACAGGTTGTTTGTATGGAAAAGCCAACTATAGAACCACCGTCATTCAGAACCACCTGAAATACAGCGGAACAGAAGTCCTATGGTGGTTCTGCAGTTGAGTTGTAATTCTGATGTGGTTGTGGGAGGATGCGTGTACTGTGTTTAGCTACTCTACCATCTTGACAGAAAACCTTATTATTGATAAACACAACAGAAAAATCTCTATGTCCAAAGTCATCTTGGAGCCCAGACACAACATTCAAGACACCAGGGCTGATCAGGGTAACCTCCAGAGAGGCCGAAGGCTGTCTGTGTGCTCCCCTTAAAAGCAAGAAAGGGTTTTGTTTGAAAGCAGATGGACTTCCTGGTTGAGATCAGGGCATATATTCTCCCTCTGCTTACGATATGCAAACAGCACAGCCATGGAAGAGAGAGCTGCTGGGTACTGCCTTTCTCAAGGTTGGGGCAAACCCCCCAGGTGGCACAGTGTGAACAGACATTAATGACTAAGTATAGGTCTTACGAAGAAATTATTATCCTAGCATTCAGCATCAGGAATCCCCAATGCTAACGGTCTGGCCAGAGGACCCTGCTCTGTGTGTGGCAGGAAAACCCACTGCCATTAAGCAGTTATTCTGAGAGCATGGAGTATGGACTGATTGTGCGTGCTGGTAACAAAAGAGCCCCAGTGAGAGCTCGATGAAACACAGGATTTTGGTGCTGATGGAGATTAAGTGGCCTGAGAACGGCTTTGTGTATGACGTGGGGAGCTCAGGTCTTGCCACCTAAGGAGTGACAGCTGATGCCTCCACTGTAGGGTAATAAGCCTTCGGAGAACCTCAGTCCTCAAGTGGGCTGCTGGGGGGGCGAGAGAAACCGCAGCGGGCCGTGAACGTCTTCCTCTCGGGGGGCTGAAATGCCACCTCTTACATTTGCATGAATAGCAAATTTAACACTTGAGACCATTGAAGTTTCATGAAATGATGAATCCGTGGGCTTGTTGACCAAGCACCCTGTGAAGAATACTATTATAACCTGAATTGTTAGCAGCAGAGGTAGAATATGACTAAAGCCAAGTGGTGACCAGAGACCTCAGGCCTGGTGCCCTAGGGAAAAAAATTCCTAATAGGTATGTTTTCTTTTTCTTTTTTTGGTGAGAATGAGGAGAAAAAACTGAAACAAGTATCATTGGATGGCTGCAGAAAAAGAGTTTCTGGTCACTTATTTTCTAGCAATTAAAAGACTGAACAAACATTAAAAAGAATGACGTTATCAGCATCAGTAAATATTTATAGGTCATAGCGAAGGGGACCTTGTTTGCCCTTCGTGGTCAGTAATGACAGACAGGGAAGAGCCGCTGTGTTTCAAGAATGCCCCTATAAACTGTTAGTACGGTTTCCTTCGGCACCCACTACACGGAAGGATGCTCTTGGGCTATTTGCAGAGCCTTCTTGCCCACAGTTCCCCCATGAGCTCAATATACTGTGTGGGGGGAAGAACCTGTCTTTTTAAAAAAAGATTTTTTTTAGTTGATGAGAGAGAGAGATTTGTTGTACCACTCACTGATGCATCCATTGGTTGATTCTCGTATGTGCCCTCACCGGGGATTGAACCCACAATCTTGGCGTATTAGGGCAACACTCTAACCAACTGAGCCACCCAGCCAGGCCAGGATCTATCATAATTGGAATACAGTAAGGGAAGTTTTCCTTTTTTAGTACCACAGGTAAAAGTTAAAGTTTAGAGGAGCTAATCAGAATTTGGCCAATCCTCCAGAAAGTTCAAATTCTAAAGAGAATATACTCTAAATCTCAAATTATAAACCATTCTTACTTAGAAATCTAATGTAAGAAGTAATATTGTTTATTACTATTTTAAATAATCTCAACCTTATCATTAATAATGAGATTTCATTCAAAATAGAATACCACTTAATGCTATGCAGGAGCACTGGCTGGTGTGGCTCAGTGGATTGAATGCCAGCCTGCGAACCAAAGGGTTGCTGGTTCGAGTCCCAGTCAGGGTACATGCCTGGGTTGAGGGCCAGGTCCCCAGTAGAGGGCATGCAAAAGGTAACCACACATTGATGTTTCTCCCCCTCTCTTTCTCCCTCCCTCCCCATCTCTCTAAAAGTAAATAAATAAAATCTTTTAAAAAAATTATGCAGGAATAGGATGAGTCTTATTAGCAATTATATCAGAAAAGTGAAATAAAAGTTGAACTCGTTGCAATACTTTAATCATTCTTCATAGCAAGCTTAAACAAACAATTTAACCAAAACCATGATTTATTTACTTTAAGCTTTTTTGTCAAATGATCCAGGTAACTTGCATATTTTAATTAATGTTGCATGAGTACTGACCACAGAGATCTTACACATGTGTGCTCAGAAAGGAAGAAATAGGTTGCAGATATATAACATGCTGATGCATTTGGCCACCTTACTGTTTTAAGTAAGTATTTTATCATTCTTTCCAAAGGCCTTCTAACTAAGCTAGTTTTTCACAAAGTAGTGAGTGCTTTATTCTTGGAAACTATTTCTAAGTGGCTTAGCACAATATAGTTACACAACATATCTATTATATCAGGAGTACATTTTGTTGTTATGAGACTATTGAAAGCATAAAGACTGTTGTGAAATTGAAATATTCCCCCAGATATTTGATTGCCGAAGTGAGACTGTATGAAGGGACAGAAGCAAAGCCACTCCTGTGGTTTTGCAGATGTCCTATCATAGCACAGAGTCTTTTATAATCCTCTGAATAAAACCTAATTTGTTTAATCTGATGAAGAGGTCATTTCCAGGTTCTGAACTATATGAATAAAGAGATCTGAGAAAGGAACTGTATTTTTACTAAACTTGTACTTGGCTGGTAAAGCAAATCATGGATGTGTTTTCTGCTTAATATTTTAAAAATATTCATATTAGTTAAAATAAACTTGCACTGCAGCTCTTTAGAGGTAAAGCTTCTCCCACTGCCCACCGCCCCCCAACTTCGTAACACTTAATTTTATAACCGTTTAAGTCAAAGATTTGTCCTTGATATATAGCCCATTCTAAACATTCTATTTCTTTCTAGAAAATTCCTAGTCTAAAATTCCCAGGAGTCACTCAGCTGGATTACATTGTCATTGACTGAATTAGGAAAAAAACCCTCTGTAGTCTTTATCTCCTTTCAGTTCCATGCTCACCTTCCAAGAAGTCTCAACTCCCAGTTTGAAAAACACTAATTTAAAATTTGGGAAGAGTGCCAAACTTCTAACATTTTATTAACCAAAAATATCTTTTTGGAATTACCCCAGGAGCACTGGGCTCAATATGAAAGTGCAAATTCAAGTACCGAACCAAGAGGCCAGTCTTCTGAAACCACCGATGGGCAGCAACCTCCCAGAAGGCCAGCCGCGCACCAGAGCCGACAGCAGCTGGAACACAGCCATGGCCTGAAGTCTCTGGCGACTGAAGTGCTGGTTGTCAGTCAAGGGAACCAGAAAGACACCACTAGACAGCAACGAAGTCAAAATAAGCCTATCGATACCTCAGCAGAACTTCTGAATGTCCCTAACAGTGATTTTTACCCCCGAAGTGCACTTGGGAGCCAGGAGCCTAAAGTGACCTCCAACAAACCTGCTCCAGCACAGCAGACTTCTGGCAAGGTATTATATAAACACTCCACTGGGTATCTCCCAGTGACGAATTATAGGGAAGAAAGGGGACGCAAAGACCAAGAAGAGGGAAGGTTTTCATCCCAGCAGCTACACATCAACAATCTTTCCCATGAGGACTTGAACCACCTTCATGGATTTACTGAGAGTCACGTGCTCCTGAGTCACAGAGGCTCTCAGACTGTTCCTAACATAAAGGTTAACCGACCAACTGAAAACAAGAAGCAACCCAAACACACTTATACGGAGACAAAATATAAGAACTTGGAAATATTATGGTAAGAATTCTTTTTTCTCAAGCGGTCGTCTAGGGGAGAAATGAGAGACGGGCACAGATAGACGGGGGGGGGGGGGGGGGCGGAAAGTCGGTGGGGGTAGGGGAGGGGTTCCTGGGATGTCAGGTAAAAAGAAAAATTCACCTAACAACGTCCTTGGCTTCCATTTCTGCCTAAAATCGTCCACTTTTATGTATTTCTTTTCTTTTTCCCTGTCTTCTCTACTTCTCCACTCCAGTTAAACCAGAAGTTGGGGGTGGGAGGAGAAGCACAGAAGGACGAGATACCCAGTCAAAAAATGATCACTATACTTTGAGGGTTACAATAATGTTCAGAGGGAACAAATTATGCAATGGCCTGTCCTAAGAAAATAATCTAAAATTCAGCAAAATATGTATGCACAAAAATATCATTTACAGAAATGACCACAATAATCCAACAAGAAGGAAATGCCTAAGTAAGTTGTGATATTTAACATCATGTAACCATTAAAAGTTATGGTTATGAAGAAATGCTTATAAAGAGAAAATAGTAAGGTACTAAATTATAACTAAGGCGCTAGCTGGTGTGGATCAGTGGGCTGAGTGCCGGCCTGCGAACCAAAGGGTCACCAGTTTAATTCCCAGTCAGGGCACATGCCTGGGTAGCGGGCCAGGTCCCCAGTAGGGGGTGCGCAAGTGGAACCACACACTGATGTTTCTCTCCCCCTCTTCTTCCGTCCCTTCCCCCCTGTCTAAATATAAACAACTAAAATTTTTAAAAAAAATCACACCTAAGGGGTTTGTGCTTTCCTGTGTTAAATGTGCATGGAAGAACAAAAATGCACCAAAATGTCACTACTGGCTATCTCTGGCAAGAAAGTTTGAGGGTATTTTTTCAATTTCTTCTTTGTACTTTCTGAATTGTTTAAGTTCCCTACAGTGTAGATGTATTACTTCTACAATTAGAAAAAAAAGAAAAGTTATTTTAAAAATCACTTCAGAGGACATTTCTTGATGTCATTCAATCAAATGTGTTTATTACACACCTGATACATATGCTGAACATAGTGCTAAAATGCTACAGAAGAAACAAAAGCAATATGATGCATGGGTACCTTAAAGGATCTTACTTTCACACTAAGGAGACAGTCTTCTGCATGAATTGGATTGACCAGAAGATATTTAAGTGCTACAATTGAAGGTATCGGATGGGCCTTCAATCAAATGTGTTTTCCCCTGAATTGTCTTTTCTCCTGAATTTAGGGGGAGTGCTTCTAACATTTTTACCATTAAAAATAATATCTAATTTTTGGTAAATAAGGAGGGAGAGATAGGTAGGAACCGCCCCCCCATTCCCATTCCTTTTGCAAAGAACTTTTATCATACAGGGATCATTTTATCAAATCTTTTTCTGCATCAATTACAAATGTTTCTCCTTTCACACTTTAATGAGGTTAAATACATTAACATCTTCTAATGTTGCTCTGTCCTTTTATTCCTAGGACTAACCTAAAGTGTTATACTGTATTCTCTATAAATTACTTGATTTGATTTGTTAGCACTCTGTTTAGGAATTAACATTCACGTGCATGAAGTGAGATTGGCTTGAAAGTTTTCTTTCTGCCTCTGGCTCCATATATATGGATTATCAAGATTATACCCGCTTTATAAAGTGAGTTGGGGAATATTCTCCCATTTTACATCCTCTGGGATACTTTGTTTTGTTGCTGTTTGTAGGCAGATTCCAACTTTAAGCTACTTACATTCATTATGATACTCATATATTTGGATTTATTTCTACACCTAAATTTGCCCTTCCTAATCACTTTTTTTATGCATCTTCTTTTTATATCTTCTATTGAACCAACAGAATATTCTTTGTTACTCTTTCCCTGTACTGATTTGGAAGTACATACTCTCTTTCTTTTCTTTTTAAAACTTACATACTTAACTAGCCTGGTGTTGAATTAATATATCCATTCTTCTCCAGAACAAACTCAAAATCATCATAGTGTTATTACCCTATCACTATTCCTGCCCTCCATATTATCTTTGTTCAGTATCTTATTCAGAACCTTCTATCTCCTAAATTAATCATTACTTTTATTATTGTTGTATGGAGTCAATGATGTTTTATTTTTTATGGAACTTATTGGGGTGACATTGGTTAATAAAATTTCATAGGCTTCAGGTGTACGACTTTATATACATCATCTGCATATTATATTTTGTGTTCACCATCGCAAGTAATTTGTCTCCCCTTTTCCCTCCTCTACCTCCCCCCACCCCCCTTTCCCTCTGGTAATCACCATGTTGTTGTCTGTGTCTATGAGTTTGTTTTTTGAGGGTTTTCTTTTTCTTGCCTAAGCCCTTCACCTTTTTCGCCCAGACCCCCACTCTGCCCTCCAGCAGCTGTCAGTCTGTTCTCTGTATCTACAAGTCAGTTTCTATTTGGTTTGTTAGTTTTTCTTCATTAGATTCTACATATAAGTGAAATCATATGGTACTTGCCTTTCTCCGACTGGCGTATTTCACTTGGCTCAATTCTCTCCAGGTTCATCCATGCTGTTGCAAAACATAAGATTTCCTTCTTTTTTACAGCCAAGTACTATTCCGTTGTGTAAAGGTACCACAGCTTTTGTATTCACTCATCTACTGATGGGCACCTGGGCTGCTTCCAAATCTTAACAATTGTAAATAATGCTGCAGTGAACAGAGAGGAGCATGCATTCTTTCAGCTCAGTGTTTTGAGTTTCTTCAGATATATTCCCAGAAGTGGAATCACTGGGTCATAAGGCAGTTCCATTTTTAATTTTCTGAGGTAACTCCATACTGCTTTCCACAGTGACTATCCCAATCTTCATTCCCACCAACAGCACATGAGGGTACCCCTTTCCCCACATCCTTGCCAGCACTTGTTGTTTGTTGACTTACTGATAATAGTTACTCTGACAGGTGTGAGGTGATATCTCATTATGGTTTCAGTGTGAACTTCTCTGATGATTAGTGATATTGAGCATTTTTTCATATGTCTATTGGCCATCTGAGTGTCCTCTTTGAAGAAGTGTCTATCCAAGTCCTTTGCCAATTTTTAATTGGGTTTTTTTTTCATGGTGAGTTATGTAAGTTCTTTATAAATTTTGGATGTTCTCCTCTTATTAGATGTGTCATTGACAAATATGTTCTCCCATTCAGTGAGGTTGTCTTTTCATTTTGTGGATGGTTTCCTTCACTGTGCAAAAGCCACTTGGTTTGATGTAGTCCCATTTGTTTATTTTTTCTTTTGTTTCCTTTGCCCAAGGAGATACATCAGAAGAAAATACTGCTACAAGACGTACCTGAGATTTTCCTGCCTATGTTTCCTTCTACAACTTTTTTTAATTGATTTCTTTTTAGAGAGAGGGGAAAGGAGGGAGAAAGAGAGGGAAACAGGTCCCCACAAGGGCCCTCTCATGCACTCCCTTGTGGGGACCTGGCCCGCAACCCATGCATGTGCCCTGACTGGGAATCGAACTGGTGACCCTTTGGTTCGCAGGCCAGCACTCAATCTACTGAGCCACACCAGCCAGGGCTCCTTCTACAACTTTTACAGTTTTGAGTCTAACATTTAAGTAAGACTTTAGTCCATTTTTAGTTTATTCTTGTGTATGGTGTAAGAAGGTGGTCTATTTTCATTCTCTGGAATTTATCTGTCCAACTTTCCCAACACCATTTATTGAATAGACTATCTTTATCCCATTGTGTATTTTTACCTCCTTGGTCAAATGCTAATTGACCATAAAGGCATGGGTTTATTTCTGGGCTCTCTATTCTGTTTCATTGATCTGTATGTCTGTTTTTATGCCAGTACCATGCTGTTTTGATTGCTATGGCCTTGTAGTATATTTTAATACCAGGTAGCATGATTCCTCTTTGTTCTTCTTTCTCAAGATTTCTGTGGCTATTTGGGTTTTGTTGTGTTTCCATATACATTTTTTGGGACATTTGTTCTAGTTCTGTGAAATACGCCATTGGTGTCTTCATGGGAATTGAGCTGAATCCATAGATTGCTTTGGGTATTATGGACATTTTAATGATATTAATTCTTCCTAGCCATGAACATGGGATATGCTTCCACTTATCTGTATTTTTTTCAATGTCTTATGACTTTTCAAGCACAGGTCTTTTAAATCCTTGGTTAAATTTATTCCTAGGTATTTTTAATGCAATTTTAAATGGAATTTGTTTTCTTAGTTTCCTTTTCTGAAAGTTCATTATTGGTGCATAAACATGCAACAGATTTATGGATATTTATTTTGTATCTTGCTACTTTACTCAATTCATTTTTCTATTCTAGTAGTCCCATAGATTTTGGGTTATGATGTTCTCATTTTCATTTGCTACAAGGCATCTTTTGATTTTTTTCCTTGATCCCATTATTAACCCATCCATTGTTTAGTAACATGTTATTTAGCCCATGTCTGTTGTTGTTCAGTTTTTTTTTCTTGTGATTGATTTCTAGTTTCATACCATTATGGCCAGAGAATATGCTTGATATGATTTCAGTCTTCTTAAATTTATGAAGACTTGTTTTGTATCCTAACATGTGATCTATCCTAGAAGATGTTCTATGTGCACTTGAAAAGAATGTATATTCTGCTGCTTTGGGATGAAATGCTCTAAAGATATTAAACCCACGTGATCTAGTGTGTCATTTAAGACTGCCATTTCCTTGTTGATTTTCTGCCTGGAAGATCGATCCATGGGTGTCAATGGGGTATTAAAATCACCTACTCTGACTGAAACAAGTATCATTGGATGGCAGCAGAAAAAGAGTTTCTGGTCACGTATTTTCTAGCAATTAAAAGGCTGAACAGACACTAAAAAGAATGACCTATCAGTATCAATAAATATTTATAGGTCATAGCGAAGGGGGCCTTGTTTGCCCTTCCTGGGCAGTCATGACACTCATGGAAGAGCCGCTGTGTTTCAAGAACAGCCTATAAACTGCAAGTACGGTTTCCTTCGGCACCACTACACGGAAGGGTGCTCTTGGGCTGTCTGCAGAGCCTCCCTGCCCACATTTCCCCCACAAAGCTCAGTATACTGCTTAGGAGGAAGAACTTGTTTTTTTATTCATAATAGAGCTCTTCAAGGGTTACAGACTTCCTGTAGGTTCCAATCCTCTGCCCCACATGGGGCCATGATCTCACATATCCAAGTGCAGGGTTAAATGTCAAAACTCGAGCTCTCACGTCCAAAACTTTCTCCAAGAAAGCCATTGCTTCAGCTTATGCAAAATCTGCCGTAGTTTTAGGATGTTTTTTTGTTTGTTTGTTTGTTTGGGTTTTGGTTTTTTGGTCTTTGAAGATTCCCTGCTTCCTTTTTTTCTTTTTTTAAATGTATTTTTTCAAGTACATTTGAAAAAATTCATTTCCCTGCTTCTTTTACAAATTCAACTATATATTGAAAAAAATGTTTGTTTAATTTTTTAATTAAATGTTTGGTTTTTTTGGTCTCTGAAGATTCCCTGCTTCCTTTTCTTCTTCTTCTTTTTTTTAATTTATTTTTTCAAATACAATTGAAAAAATACATTTCCCTGCTTCTTTTACAGATTCAACTATATATTGAAAACAATGTTTAATTTAATATGGTATTTTTAGGTATATTGGAGAAGGAAGTTCTTTAGTGTTTTGAAATTGGGGCTTTTTTTTCTATTTTAAATGGATTAAATGAAAGTTTTAAATAGGAACTAGAGTATCCTAAAGAAATAAAATAGAAGTACTTTAAGAAATCAGTGTATTTATGAAAAGGTTAGGCTAATGGTCACTAATTTGATTTATGGAGTAATAAACACATCAAAATAGTGGTTTATAAAGATTTTTAGGCTATGTGCATATCCAGGTTTTATTAACAGATTTGTGCTTTCTTTTTTTTCCATTAAGGAAGTTCCATTCTTCCTCAGCCAGCCAACCGGCCAGCGTGTCTCCAGACTCACGGCTCGCCCAGGTCATGGAGCAGCATGAGCAAGCCCTCCTGCAGCTGACCGATGTGCAGCCCCGCGAGGCCACCTTGGCCAGCGTCACCTTTCCACCCATATTGTCAAGAGTGGAAAGTGAATCCCAACTCAACTCAGAGAAAAGCCAAAGAAACCAAATGAAAATTAGTCGTAGCAATTCTGAAGGCTATCTGCTTCAACTGGAAAAAGGGAAAAAGCAGAGAAAAAGCATTAAGGTAATAAAAGCCCTTTACCAAATCATCTTTTAGTTTTGATAATACAGGTGGGCCTTGATTTTCATTCCCATTGGTAGAGCCCCGGAGCCGGGATGGCCACTACCGAGCTGCTGCCACGGCAGGGCCACCCGCAGCCTGAGGAGGTCCTTCACCAGAGCCCTTGCTACCGCCTGGAATTCCCCTCCTCTTTTCCTGAAAGTTGTTGCTACCAGGGATGCTCGGTCCCACATCCTTTGTGCTTGGTCTCAAGGAAGGATCTACATTTGCAGACAGGCAATAGTCCCCCACTGGCATCAACTTAAACATCACACCCTCAGAAAAGCTCCCCACACCGCCTCCGCCCCCAGGCTAGGCTGGACCTCCGGGTACCATCTCAGAGGCCAGAAGAGGAGGAAGTAGGGCTGGGGCAGTGAGAGCCCCGGCTGCCATGGTTTCCCCCGCACCCACACGGCTCCCACCCCCGGACCCTGCCCGGCCCTCACCTCGCCTCAGCTCCTGCAGGCAGCTACACAGCGCGGCCAAGGGCTGGGCGCTCTTCTGAAACGCTTGCCAACCTTCGCTGAGTTCTTTGTTCACAGTAAGATTCACCATGACTAGCCCCTTTGTCCACTTCAGTCTTCCCAACTGGGTCTATCATGTTAAATAAGGGAAATTAATGGGCGGGGTGGCAAAGGGAAATGCTTCCAGTGTGAAATGAAGGGGCACTGAAGGAGCCTTCGTATTTCTCCACTGTTATAAGCAACAAAATCCCCTCCGGACAGATCACTTGCTTCTTTGTCACGTAGCCAGGACAAAGCTGGAAAAAGCATGCTGTTTACAGGCGACGGGGGAGGCCTGGCAGGACGCAGCAGGCCTGGCCTGAGTTGGGTCCCTGGGGAGAGACACGGAGGTGGAGACGTGCACGCACGGGGGATTGCGGGGTGCTTCCTGTGAGGGCAGGGGCGGGCAGGGCTGCAGGGGGAGCGGGTGCACTGGGGTGCAGGTGTGACACGTGCCTCAGCCATGGCCGTGCGGGTTCTGAAGCTGGGACGGCTTCCCTGACCCCACACGGGTCAGCCATTGGCTACGGAACAGCCCTGGGGAGGCTCCGGAATGTACCTGTGGACACAGCAGCTCCGTTGGGCCGAAGGCTGTTCTGAGGGAGAAACTCAGCTGTGAGCCACAGCCGACAACCAGCCTCAGCGGAGGGGGGGGCACGGGAGGGGGCCTCAGCCCAGGGGGGCATCCACTACGCGCAGTTTTAGGAAAACACCCCCACTCCAACTGGACACGTATTTGTTGAATTCCAGACAGGGATTGTGCTGGGATAGAGAGAGAATGAGCCATGAGCATCCCCAGCAGAAGTTTACAGGTGACGTGGAACTGGGGAGACACGGATGTGCACGGCTGCAATATAATGTTTCTGCAATTTAAAGAGCGGGGGAGGGAGGCATGCGGAACACAGGGGCGCACAAAGGAGGACACATCCCTGCCTGGGGCTCAGCAGAGTTTCAGGAGGTGATTGTGAGCCAAGTCCGAGAGGATGATGGACAGGTAACAAAAGAAGAAAGACCGAGAGATCATCTCCGGCAGAGGAGCCCGCATGCGGAAGCCGGGGACAGCATGGCGCGTCCTGGGAACAGGCCACGTTTCAGTGCTGCTGTCCCTGAAACTGGGGCCCAGGGTGCTGAGAGGTGCGGAGCAGTCGGTGGGGCTTCGGTGGGCCTTGATTCTCACTCGGAGAAGGGGCGCTTTGTTCTGCAGGGTGGGGCGGGGGGACGGACACACGAGCGCGTTAGCCATGATGAGGTCGGCAGGCAGGCAGGCAGGCAGGCAGGCGCGAGGCGTCCCAGAAAGTTAGGGGATCACAGAGTCAGGGGGTCCTGATGTGGGGCACTCAGAGGAAGAGAAAAGGGCGGCTTTGAAGAAAAGGGGAAACTGGACTAGAATGGACACTGGGTCCTATTACAGAGAAAAGAGAGATGGGCTCAGGCTGAGACGTGACCGCCTTGGAGCCCCCCGGCGGGGGTCACCCGCTCCCTTCCTCCCGCGCCCAAGGGCCGTCCCGCCGCCTCCGCTCTGCTGGGGCCCAGGGCTCTGGCCGGGCTGTGGGAGCCACGACCGGTGGCGTGGAGCCGGGGTCATCTTCTGCCTCACTGTCCACAAGGAGGAGTATGTTTCTGGGGTCACGAGTAATTTTTCTCCCACAGAAACATCATTACACGGTAGGCTCTGAGGTCCCATTAGTACCATTTTCAAGTACTTCACAAATAAAGTAGGTTTTGTAGACAAGGCCAGCAAGCCAGGCACCATGCATATTGTTATTTCTGTGGGGAAATGCAGCCAGAGCTTTGGGCCGACCCATTCGCAAGGTGGCCTGTTCACTCCGAGCTGACACGTGACCGGGGCCCAAAAGACGGCTCGCACACAGCCTCAGAAGAAAACCTTCCAAGTTAGGGTTCTTGCCAACTACAGATTATTGTTGACAATGAAAGCTTTTATCGCAGGTTAAGGTAGCAACCTGAACTCCTAAAGTTGCTAATCAGATGACACTAAGGGAAACGGACTATCCTAGACTATGTTAGATTTCTCAGGCGGGCCCAGTGTAATTAGAAGCGTCCTTAAAAGTGGAAGAGGGAGGCCAAAGGGTCAGTGCCAGAGTGCAGGCGGACCTCGGAGACACCAGGGCCCAGGCTCAGGCCGCTGTGGCACGGCAAGTCACCGTAACGTCAGCCACATGGACGGGCTGGTGTCCCAAAGCATATAAAACATGTTCATACTACGCTGTAGTCTATTAAGTGTGCAGTAGCATTATGTCTAACAAAAAATGTACATGCGTTCATTTAAAATACTTTATTTCTAACAAATTCTAACCACTAAAAAAAGAAAAAGGAAAAAAGAGAACGCAAGCTTTAGCTTCAATGCGTGGTGAGCAGAGCCCGTGGAAGTGGTGGCTCGGCCCTTCCCGGGGCCTCCCCTCCGCTCCGTCACCGCAGAGCTCCGTGGCCCAGTCGGTCATTGATCCACCAAAGCCCCTCTCCTCACAGGCACAATCGGAACTGTCCTTCCTTTTTGTAGATCTGGTATGATAATTATATTAAATAATGTATCACAACCATGGCTAGCAAAAAACAGACATCAGCTAAATGTTAGTTTCCCTTCCTCCTTCTCGGAGTAATTTGAATTCACATTTTACTGGAAAAGGCAGAGGAACGTACCAGGGGACAGTGTGTATCACCAGAAACCTAAGGCCGTGGGAGGGCAGGCAAGAGGGAGAAAGGGGGCTTCCAGCCGCTGCTTCCCGGACCCTCTTTCCCCTGTGGAACCACTCCCTTCCTGCCTTCTTTCAGAAATGTTACAATCTCCGTACATATCCATTTTCTCCATCCAACACCTTCAGCCACTTTGGATAAGGACACAGAGCAGCCTTTGTCCTTTAAGCTGTTCCAGAGGCTGAACTGACTTAGAACGGAGCTATTTGTATAGGACAGCAGGTAGCCAGGGCACCAGACAGAAGGAATCATCATCCAGGTCATGCCCATTTGCTAGTCAGCAAATCTTGTGGTTTCCAAGGGAATCAACTTGAATCCCATTAAAACTTTGAGGATTTGACAAGATAATATGTCCAAACACCATTCCTCTTCTCTTCACAGTTCTGTTGTGACTGAATTAAAAATACTAAGCATTGCCCATGCCATTCAATCCAGGTGTTAGGCAGTAACAGATTAACACAATGCAAGAGATGACAGTCCAAACACATCTATCGCAGCCCACCACAAAATAACTGCTTACAGGTCCTCCGACAGCTGGCTGCGCTGAGCCGAGCCGCAGTGATTAGCTCTTGTGTTTGTTGTCACAGATAACCTGGCTATTGCTGCTTGACTGCTTCTAAGAAGAGGTTTATTTGGATTAAGTTTAGCAACCACAGAGCAAATTTCCTCCGCTCACTGTTCTGCAGTATTTGAGGCATTGTTTGTCCTGTTTTGGAGTAACTTTCTCACATTTGCTCTCCTGAGGAATGTTTGGAAGAAAGCCCCGGAGTGTCCTCCTGCGCAGCCACTGCCATTGCCAGCCCCCCTACGCTTTGCCCCAGGGTTACGAGAAGATCACTCTTCTGGCTTGAGAAGAAGTGTCATTGGTTACTCGCAAGAACCTTCCATCAGGAAAGCCTTACGCCATCGTCTGCTGAGGAGATAGGTGGTGACCACTAGTTCAGAGGGGCAGTTCCGTCCTCAGCAGCCGTGACCTAGACCAGGGTCACGGTGGCAGTGTGTGTGCGTCTCCCGGGAGAGCCAGCAGGAGACCCTCAGGGCCTTGTTGGGAGCCCTGTGTTTAGAGGCCTAACAGGACTATCTATCATTGTTGTGTTTTTGTTTGTTTTGTTTTTTGGGGGGGCATCATGCTATCATGACCTTTCCATCTTGTAACAGCCAAGGAGAAGTAAATCAAAGTAAATTCTAGGGATTATTTTACTATAAAAGCCTTTTGAAGACACGGAAAGTAGATTAGTGGTTGCCTAGGGCTGGATTTGTAGCGGAGAAGGGGAGTGACTGCTAGTGGGTATGGAGTTTGTTTTTAGGGTGATGAAAACGGTCTAAAATTGCATTGTGGTGATGTTTGCACAATTCCGTGAATATACTACATACAATTGTACAACTTCAAATGGGTGAATTTGTGGTGTGTGAAATATCTCAGTGAAGCTGTTAACAAGACTTTTGATGGGAAGAGATCAAACTTACAGCGCTGTGAGCCAATCAAGATTACTTGAACCAAAGTTAAGTAAATCCAGGATTTTTCCTTGCCAGTCACCCAGAACAAACTCTGTTAGGGGCCATCGCTCTCCCCTGAGAAACGTCTCTTTGCTAGAAGCAGCTTATCCTGTAAAGGGGTGAATGTCATTTGGAGAGAGTCCTTTTGGGCCACACTCTTTCCTTCCTGTCAATACATAATGCTAGTCCCTGGGCTTCTTCTATGACAGCCAAGGCGTGTTTATTCACGGCGATAGGGAGAGCTGGGACTGG